TATATTGAAATATTAATAAGGATTTTATGAAAATTAACATTTGTTGAATGGCTGCTCCTATGGGCACGCTACCATGAGTCACAACCCAAGTTTAACAAATGTTAATTTGCTTAAATGATCGAATAAAAAGACATTTATAACAGAACTGACTGAAAGTCTGACTGAATAAACCAGTGCTTACTTCCCAGTCAGTGATCATCAAACAATGATCATTCAAGCAAAGAGACAATAAGACCGATATTGATGCACATTATGCTGATAATCAAAGTGATGATAAATTTCATATTGCAAATATATAATTCTTTACATTTTGGCAGTAATTATTTTCCATAAGTAAATTATGTTACAACTGGCACCCTGTCCAGGCTGTACCCTGCCTTGTGCTCGATGATTCCTGGGATAGGCTCCAGGTTCCCCGTGACCCTGAAGAAGGAGTAAGCGGTAGAAGATGGATGGATGGAAATTATGTTTCCAATATAGTGTAATTTTCTCCCTTTTTATGTTTGGAGGTAACCAGATTTTAAAATGCTGTTACGTCTTATTTATATAGTTTATATAGTTTTAGTTTAGACAGTACTTTTTGAGATTTGAGATATATGAAATCGACAGAAATATTTCAGTATTTCAAGGCCATCAAAAATGAAAACAACCATGAAGGGAAAAAACAGTTTGGTTTAAAGAGCACATAGCACACAGAACCATCCTGTTTTTCTTCTCAACACTGAAGGCTTTCAAATAGCAAGCCTGTGTTTCTCAAAGAATTGTCTCCCTAGACATTTTTCATAACCATCATTTACAAAAGGACTGAAAATTTTAACACAGAGGAGTGTCACTCTTGCAAAATGTAGACCTCTTCCAAAAGCACCATCATCATGTGCCCTCATGCTAAACTCAGATCAGCACACGCTAAGATCATCATTGATTTAGAAACTATAAAGTCACCCTAATTTTTATCTGTAGGGTGCTAGAACAGAAGAACACAAACTGGACCCAATGCAAAAATTAACATAGATAAAGAGATACATGTTGGTCAAACTTTGAGGCCTGTTTACCTCTTTGTGGTTTGTAACGCAATCTGCAATTAAAACCGTTAGAGATTAGGATGATTGTGATCAATATTTTGCAGCTTTGCTTTGGTGCACGTGCAGCAATAAAAACAAGGCCCAGCTGGAATTGCCTTGAGCAGAAAACCTAATGGAGACCAATTAAAATAAGAGGATTCAATTTGGCCAGCACAACAGGAACCGAATGATAACGTGTTCTCTAGATTGGACTCCATCATATTTGTTCTGCCATTTTCAGAAGCAACATGGAACAGAGAAGATTGGTACGGAAAGTCTTTTGGAATCATTTGTTTAATTTTAGATATTGCACCTTCCTAAATATTGTATTTAAGAGAACTTGATTGATTAGCAATACTCAGGAGAAATGCAATGATATGATCTGGATGAACTGTATTCTCCTAAGAAAAGTCATCTATCTAGGCAAATACCGTAATTTTCTACTAATATTAGTAGATCATTTATAACATAACAGCTCAGTGTAATGTAAAAACAGATGTGTACACACAAGAGGACAAATACAGTGGCAAGAAAAAGTATGTGAACCTTTTGGAATTTCATGGTTTTCTGAATAAATTGGTCATAAAATGTGATCTGAGCTTTAAGTCAGGGGTATTGACAAATAGAATGTGTCTAAAATAATAAAAAAAAAAATTCTGATCTTTCATCTTTATTGAGAACAACCAAAAAAAACTCATAGGGCTTGTGGAAAAAGTATGTGAACCCTTGAGTTATTGACTTCAAAAAAGCTTCTTTTTTTTTGCACACCTGGAGTCTCGTTAAGAAAATGAGTTTGGAGGTGTCATCTACAGCTAATCTGACTGTTAAAAACCCATCAAACTTTTGGAGTTTGCTCTGAACAAGAAGCACATGCTTAGGTGAGCCATCCTTGCTTTGGATCTACGATCAAGAATAGTTGATTTACATAAAGCTGGCAAAGTGATTTCAAAGGCTTTAAAAATTCACCAGTCTACAGTTAGGCAAACATTCTACAAATGGAGACACTTTGGGACTGTTGCTACTCTACCAAGAATTGGGCGCCCAGTCAAAATGACACCAAGAGCACATCGAAGACTCATCAATGAGGTAAAGAAACAACCCCGAATGACAACCAAAGATTTGAAGGCATCATTGGAACTGGCTAACATCTCTGTTCATGAGTCTACAATACGCAAAACTTTGTACAAGCAGGGAATCTGCGGCAGGGCACCACAAAGGAAGCCGCTGCTTACTAAAAAGAACATTGCTGCACGCCTGAAGTTTGCAAAAGAGCACATTGACACTCCACAGCGGTATTGGCAAAATGTTTTGTGGACTGATGAAACTAAGATTGAAGTATTTGGAAAAACAAAAATGCTGTGGCCCTACATCTGATGTAGAAAGGGCACGGCATTTCATCATGAAAACATCATCCCAACCGTAAGGTATGGTGGAGGAAACACCTTGATTTGGACCTGCTTTGCTGCATCAGGGCCTGGCCAGCTTGCAATCAGTGAGGGGAAGATGAATTCCCAAGTATATCAGACAATTCTTCAGGATAATGTAAGAATGTCTGTACGTCTGCTGAAACCGTGTAGAAGTTGGGTGATGCAACAAGACAACGACCCAAAACACCGGAGCAAGTCCACAACAGAATGGCTTCAGAAAACCAAAATCCACCTTTTGGAGTGGCCAAGTCAGCGCCCAGACCTAAACCCAACAGAGATGCTATGGAATGACTTGAAGAGAGACATATACATGAGACATCCAAAGAATATGACTGAGCTAAAGCAATTCTGCCAGGAAGAATGCGCTAAAATTCCTCCTGAACGATGTGCAGGTCTGATCCACAGCTACAGGAAGCGCCTGGTTGAGGTTATTGCTGCCAGGGGGAGGGGCGGAGGGGAGGTAAACCAGTTATTAATTCTAAGTGTTCACTTACTTTTTCCACTCCCATTTTGAATGTTGAATGAGTGTGTTGAATAAGGACACAAGGGATCCGAATTTATTTTGTGTTATTCTTTTAGACACATTATATCTGTCAATACCCCTGACTTAGATGAAGATCAGATCACAGTTTATGACAAATTTATGCAGAAAACCATGAAATTCCAAAAGGGTCACTTACTTTTTCCTGCCACTGTAACTTTACAGAGTAAATACAGTGTTGTGAAAATTTTATCAGTTTAAATAACTTGATTGAGCTCACACTCCCTTTTTTATTTTTTATTTTTTCCACATTTCATGCTCTGTACTGCTCTCTCTGTGACCAAGTTTTGTGCCTTTTCACCATTCTAACGCCACTGTGAAAATAATTCAGCAACCCATGGACAGGAACAGTATTTATAGTTGTCTCAATAGAGGACTGAAGCATCCTTGGAGAAGGTGAGTGCAGTGTGGAATAGCAGGTTCACAGTGTCGCAGTGCTCTGAACCTCAGCACTGAAGGCGCACATAATTAATGGCACATTTTCAGCAGCAAACAGTGACTAATTGCGCCAGACAGATATAGTGAGGCATTAATGACATGCATACAACACTCTCCACACTCCCCTACTGCTCCAATTTACCGTGAGATTAAAGACGACTGCCAAGTTTACTAAATGAAGATCACGGGGGGGGGGGGGGGGGGGCTATGTGTGTGTGCGAGTGTTTGGTATTATGGCAGAGGGGAGTTTTACTATCTCCCATTCACAGACGATCATCTGTGTTATCGTGTTCCTGCTCTCGCGCCGGGTGAAGAAGGTAAACAGCGTGAACTACATTTGGCTCGCAGCTTCCCATCACCTGTAACGCTCTGACTTCCACCAGAGGACACAGAAAGACAAAGGGATATGAAGACAAACCTAATTCTCATACTGCTGCACTAGCAGCATGTATTAATAACAGGCATCCCATTTTGACATTTACTGTTAAGTATGGAAGCATGTGCTGGCGTACTATTTTGACATGAAGTATCGTAGATTCACAGAAGAGGCTCGTTACAATAGATTTTGGAAGGGCAAGCCAACATTAATAACGACATAGCTTCAACCAAAGAATAAAAACATCAATAAGCTATCTCACACTTGACTTATGCTATATGCTACTATACACCTTACAGTCTAGCAGCTCATTTTGAGCATTTTTAGACATACCTTTGTTTAACTGTGTCCACTGTAATATTATTCACCAGGATTAAGAGGTTTCAGCAAGATTTATAGCCTCCAGATACATCTCTTTCCAGACATCTCAAAAACCACACAAAAGACCTGAAACTAGCCAAAAAAATCTGGACACTGGAAAAAAAGAGAGTTCTTCTTTTCCTCTGGCAACTTTAACATGTATATCTGATGTACAAACATTTCCCATTCCAAAATCCCCCTTTCCCCCCCTCTCAATCTTAGCAATCCCACCAAGCACCATACTTCCATGGACATTGATTTTTGGTCTAAATTTGATCTTTACTTAGCCCAAAAATAGTCATTGAAAATATTGTTTAGTTCAGGGGTGTCCAATCTTATCCACAAAGAGCCTGTGTGGATGCAGGTTTTCGTTCCAACCAAGCAGGAGCCACACCTGATTCCACCTGTTTAATCAGACGATCTTGGCTTTCAATAGACTCAGGTGTGGCTTCTGCTTGGTTGGAATGAAAACCTGCACCCACACCGACCCTTTCCGGATATGATCGGACACCACTGGTTTATTCCATCTGATTTGATCCATATTTATCCCAAGATGGATGTCGGTTTCGGAACACATATAACCCTAGTACAGCCATGAAAATAAGATCACAGTGCACCAAGTGGGGAATTATGTGTGTTGTGTAGACTACACCCAAATGAGGCTTTCTGAACAGTTTTAAACATAATCACTGTTATTCAAAAACTCAAACATATTTATATTAATATAAATATGCTTTAAATATGCCAATTTGACATTACTGCTGTATCATTAATACATTACTTAAGAATGTATTTTAGGGTGCATGGTGACTTAGTGGTTAGCATGTTCACCTCACACCTCAAGGGTCGGGGGTTCGATTCCTATCGTGCCCTGCGTGTGCGGAGTTTGCATGTTCTCCCTGTGCTGCGGGGGTTTCCTCTGGGTACTCCAGTTTCCTCCCCCAGTCAAAAGACATGCATGGTAGGCTGATTGGCGTGTCTAAAGTGTCCATAGTGTATAAATGGGTGTGTGTGAGTGTGTATGTGATTGTGCCCTGCGATGGACTGTCACCCTGTCCAGGGTGTACCCTGCCTTGTGCCCGATGCTCCCTGGGATAGGCTCCAGTGACCCTGAAAAGGATAAAGCGGTATAGAAGATGGATGGATGGATGGAAGAATGTATTTTCCCGGTGCTTCATGGCAGTCACACACACACTACTGCAGGATACGAGTGCAGGTGATCACAGTACAGAACTCAAGAGTGGCTTGTTTTGACTAATCTGGTCACTCAGAATTCAAAATCAAATTTGTTGCAGTTGGGCGTGGAGGAGGAGAAGGGCAAGGGTAGGGAAACATGTACATTATATCAAACCCGAGAGTGACAGAGATACTGGGTAATTTATTTGGAATTAATTTGATTAATATAAAAGTTATTTTAATATGAAATTCCCTCTTTTTGTGTCCACAAACTGAAGTCCCTCGAATATCTGTGGCGGAGCGGTGTGTAAGTCGTGACATCATCAGTTTTTACTAGACGTGGGGTGTTTTTAGTGTACATACCAGAGTTTCCATTTGCTGGCAAATACCAGGTTTTGATTGGTAAACGTCCTAAATGTCAGATAAAACCAAAAATTGTCGGACACAACGTCTGATAAAAACATTAAAGTACATTCACAATTGCACACGTAAACAAGGTCTCTGTGCACGTGTTTTTCTACATGTTTTGTAACATGTACTCGCACATGTTTCGGCTCACATTAAAACAACCGCCATGTCAAGCTGCACAGAAACACTGGACAGATTCAATTTCACAACGCTTCTTTGCCATGAAAAATCACAGGAATGCATAAAAATAAAAAAAAATAAATTAGCGGGGAAAATTTTTTTTTTTTTTTTTTTTTTTTTTTTTTTTTTTAATAAACAACTAAATTCATTTTATTTTCCCTTTTTTTTTTTTTTTTTTTTTTTTTTTTAATAGTTTAAAAATCCTCTCCCCTCTTTTTTTTTTTTTTTTTTAAAATTAAAAAAAAAAAAAAAAATTAATTTTTTTTTTTTTTTTTTTTTTTTTTTTTTCTCTTTTTCTCTTCTTTTTATTTCTTTTTTTTTTGGGAGTGGGGGGGTGTAAAAAAGTTTTTTTTTTTTTTTTTTTTTTTTTTTTTTTTTTTTTTTTTCCTTCTTCTTTCACCCACACACACACACACTCACCCACTTCCCTCCCTCTTTCTTTTTTTTTTTTTTTTTTTTTTTTCACAAAAAAAAAAAAAAAACAAAAAACAAAAAAAAACAAAAACCAAAAAAACAACACAAACAAAATTACCCTTCCTTTTTTTTTCACACCCCCCCCCCCCCCCTCACCCCAAATACACCCCCCCCCCCCCCCACAAAAAAAAAAAAAAAAAAAAAAAACCCAACCCCCTTACAGTGCAATATGAGCACCGAAATGAGATAACCAGATTTTTGTCCATTTTGTCTGGTAAACTTTCGTGGCGGAAATTCTGGTACATACAATAACGTCATTTCAATAAGTTTTTGCTGAGTGGGATACATCCAAACAGAAATCATTCTGTACATCATAGACACATTGACTACGTTTACATGGACAGCAGTAATCTACTATAATTACTATTGACCTTACTCTGATTAAGATAATAATGTGATTAAGGTGTTTACATGAGTCGCTTTTAGAAAACTCCTGTCATGTTCACATTTGACATGTTTTAGAACATAATTAGATTACATTAGATTACATGGTAGTTTCTTAATGAAAGTATCGTCTTAATGGGTTAAGAGTGGATTATTGTTGTCCATGTAAACACACTGATCGTCTGCACTTATACTTCACCATTCTGGGGAAATTAATTACATTTAATTCAGATTATTTGAATTGATTTGATTATAATAAAATAATAAAGTAAGATTGACGGCCTCTGAGTATTGTAAACTAACACAATCTGGCAATCTTGCCACCAACTGTCCTGTCTGCTCCGCCTCCTCCAATCAAATGCTTCATAGCACGAGAATGGACAAATCAGGCCGGAAAAATCTGCTGTTCAAATGATGTGTCATTTGGTGAACTCATACTTATCGTACAAAACACGTGCTATTCCTGTTAAACATGCATGTTTTCTATCCAACAAACATATCCTCCTAGCTACATCTCTTCCATTTCTTGCGTGAAGATAGTATAAAAATAGGGCCTAGTGATTAATGTCTGAACATGGGATCAGAGGTTAAAGAAACAAATGTTTCTTTTAAAAAATATTTAGGAAAGTCTCAAATTCAACATAATAAATCATTATTTGATTTGACACTCTTGTAGTAAGAAGTCAAAATGTTAACATGCTTCTGTTACTGTTGGGGTGGACAATATCTTTCAAAAACCAGTTCTAACCTTGTTTTTGTCCTGTTGTAGGAAACCTCCAGTACTTAATCGGTATCCCTAAACTCGGTATGTAGCTTGAGTGTAGCTAGCTATCTAGTAGTTTTCAGCAGCTGGAAAATGTTATTGATTGGTTAATTCTGGTAGACAATAAAGTGTGATTTTTTAAAAAAAATAAGCGATGCGTTCATTTGATGTCAGGGACAGTTACCTAGGGAGGAATCCTAATGATGATCTTTGACCTTTTATGAACATCATTATAGCACAATAACTGTCCAAGACAATGTTACTCCATATGTACGTATATAATCAGCTGCTAAAGTGGGCTGCTGTATCCAAACAGCAGACAATGGTCACTTTTCACGACATCAGAAAACATCCACCTTTCCGCAAATCAGTGTACACGTACTTCCGTTTTACCTTACACACACTGGATACTTCAGGAAAATGCAGGAAGGTGCTAACTAACAAAAGGAAACACGAAAGATAAAGTTTAGAATAATAATGTTTACGTATTTTTACAGGTTCTTATATTTTGATTCTTTTGATAATGTTATGATCATTTCCAGTTTACCGTTCTTAACGTGTAACTGCCTTGGATGGGAAAGTAGGCTAGCTAGCAGCAACAAGAACAATATGCATCGCTCTCGGCCTGTGTTGCCACAAGTTTACTAACAAGCGTTAAGAAGTATTTACTTTTTCATATTTATGTATAATCACACAACATTAACCATGAATACATTACTGACATTTATCTAACAATATACAATATATAGCTAACATCGGTAGCACGATTGCAACAAGAGTTTTTGGTCTGTATTACAGTAAATGAATCAAGAATAAGGACTTAAATACTTGGCAGAAGAGAAAGCTAACAACCACCGTTATCCTAACTCCTCCGATAACGTAAGCTGGGCTGGACAATACAAAAATGTTTAGCTTCATAATCAAACAGGTAATTCTCAATGAAGAATCTGTATCCTTTATCAAGTTTAAAATGTGTCGTAAGTGAAAAATTGGTCTGCAAGTCGCTGTACATCATCTAGACGTGTTTCTGGCAGATGTAGAAGGTACTGGGTAAACTCCAGAGCTTTCCACTATGCTGGTGTTGGTAACCATACACTGCTTTGAGTGGGAACAGAGGTTGCGTGATGTCATGTGAAAAGGGTCTGTTGTGGCAAGATTTGTGTACATTAGCTGTTATTTCCACAGAAACACACAGCCAGTGTGTGACAGTTGCATTAAAAACTTTCCTTAGACAAAAATTCCTTTAAACAACACCATTATCTTCCAAATTCCAACCGCACACATTCACTCCAAGAGACAATTTAGCATAGCCAATAGCACAGGATAAACTCCCTACTAACACACAAGAGCAGAATTGAACTTGGGACCCAAACACTGCGTGGTAGAGTTTGACCAAGCTTTCCATGGTCTGAATTATCAGACATTATCAGACATTGAGCTTCTTCTCCAGGTTCTTCGTAGAGTGAGTACATGTTTCACCATTGAATAAGCAGCAAGATTGTCAACAAAGCTGAACAAAGATCAAACCCTTTTTAACAAGATACACAACAAGGCTCAACCCGTTTAAAGAGAAATGCAGATATGCTTCAACTCAGGGATGTGCAGCTCACGCAACAGAGGAAAAGCTCTTGGTCTGAGTCATCTTAAACTATTACACGTCAAGTTCCCAGCATTAAGTATAAAGTCAAAGAGTCAGATCACTGACATATTTATAGAGAAGGAATATAATTGAATATGAAAACATTATTCAGACTGAACAAATAATGCATCCTAAATGAATAGATACGTACAGTAGGTGGTGTATTTGGTTTTTTGTAAATTATTATTTATTTTATTTATTTATTTTTATAAAAGGCTTGCCAAAATGCTTCACAATCCATGTGGATCCTGTTATGGCTGATCTGTGTATAATATACTGTCCCCTCTAAAAGTCTTGGAACAGCAAGGCCAATTCTACTATTTTTGCTATACATCGAAAACATTTGGGTTGAATATGAGACGAAAGATCAGAATTTCAGCTTTCCTTTCCTGATATTTACATCTAGATGTGTTAAAACAACTTGAAACATGGCCAGCTAGGTGTGAGTGATCATTGGTCTCAATTTTTAGGTGAGCAAAAGTATAGGGACATATAGTCTTAAAGTAAATTATATAACACTTAATAGTTGGTTGCATCTTCCTTGACTGCAATAACTTCACCAAGCTGGTGACATCACCAAACTGTTGCATTTTTCTCTAGTGTTGCTTTTTGAAGCTTGTACTGCAGCTTCTTTCATTTGTTGTTTGTTTCAGGGGGTTTCTCCCTACAGTCTCCTCTTCAGGAGGTGAAATGTATTCTCAACTGGGTTAAGGTCTGGTGATTGACTTGGCCAGACTAAAACCTTCCACCTTTCCCCCTGATGAAGGCCTTTGTTGTACTTGCAGTGCTTTTTTGGGTCATTGGGTCACTCTATATTTCTGCACACTTCTTTGAAGTCTTCTTCAAATG